AACTTCCTAAAACATTCCCAAAACCGTCTTAAAACTGCGCTTTTACATAAATGTACCTATGTAAAATGTATAATTTGTCATTTACTATTTACTATTGAGAAGTTTTATTGTTTTTAAACAGTAAACGTATCTAGTCTACCCTTCAGTCTAGGAAAAATCTATAACATAGCACTTTAATTAGTATTTTTCTTTTTTTACAAAAGTAAAAACAAAAGGGACAAATTTATTATTAGGCCCAAAGTTTAAAAATAAAAAATTTGGACTAAAAGGTCTAAAATTACTAAATGGATGCTCTAAAAAGATCCTAAAACTCTTACATAGTAATCTAAATTATAAAAGCTTGTTAAAAATGACAACTTTAAAAATATGTTAAAACCACAATCCACACAAGGTCAGTTCTATCTCGTTTCGCACATGCTAAAAATCACGAAGTTAGGCAACCAACTGCACAGACTTTAACGTCGGCTTATTAAAGTTCTTTCTTTTTTCTGGACTGCGGCAACGTTGCAAATTTAGGGGTTTGGTTGGTAAATACGGAACCAAAATTGGTTGCATTCATTAAAACAAACTAAACTAGTTAAAAATGCAATTAATTTGGCTTTGGTGGTGCGTAGATGAGTAAAATAATATAAAAAAAAGTAGTTAAATATAGGTGACTACGGCCGAACGAGCAAAGTTTTCCTAGCGGATAATAATCTTCGCTTTATTATTATTGATTATTGCTTATCTTTTTCAAACCAAATGGATGCTATTTTCAAAGACAGGAAAATTAACTACTAGATTTTCACAAAAAGGTTGAACATAACAGCAAACAATTTTTATTTTTTTATTTCCCCCTATTTTAAAATTTCAAAATTTTTTGATCTGCTTGGCTAAAAATAATGTGTGATTTTATATTTGTAAAACGAAAAACGTTAATTTTTTACTCCAAAAATGTCTATAAGGCGATGTACTTTTTCTGCCATTGAGGCATTTCTCATAACTTCATGGAAATGGATTTTTGCCCTTAAAAGTTCTTTTACTTTAGAATCTGATATTATTTTTGGCATAGTTATCTTTATATATCGATATTATATAATAATTACCAAGTAAATTATCAATAATAAATATTACTGTCAATTTGACATTGTCAGAGTATTTAATTAAGGACTTCAGGAGAAGTACCATTTTTTTAAATACTAAAAATACTAAATTAAACTGGCATAAACTACCAACTTAATAAAAAAACACGAGTCCAAATAAAAAAAAATGAACTGTATGTTTACCAGTGTTGCCAATGTACGTGGAAATCCACGCATTGTGTGGAATTTATTTTGTTGTGTGTAATTTGTGTGTAATACATAAATGTGTGGAATTTGCGTGTAAACTTTATCTTTAAATTAACAATTAATGCTTATAACAAGCATTTAAATAGATACATTTGCAAATGCGCATTTTAGTTATTTAGTTATATCATATACCTATAACTAGTTATAGGTATATATAACTAGTTATAGGTATATATACCTCATATATGAGTTATATGAACGAATTTCTGTGCAGATTTCTATATATACAGCAAATTAAAAAAATCTGGTATTTTTGTAAACTTGCAAGCGTAAGTTATCGAGTAACTTAAAACCGTTTATAACAATAGACTTTTTGACAAAGTAAGTAATCTAGTAAGTTTTTGAAAACGTCTTTAAGTAATCACCAGTAATTACCACAGAAAGAGTGTTTGTGGTGATTCACCTCAGAAACTCTTTCTGCGGTAATCACCAAAGAAACCTAACAAAACCAAAATCCCAAATGTGTGGAATAGTTGGCAAAATTGTGGAATTTTGACAGAATCTGTGTGTAAATTATGTAAACACCATTGGCAACACTGATGTTTACAATTCTTGTGCTTTGGGTTTGTGCTGATTATACAGATTTTAAACGTTGTGTTTCTTACAGAGGCACTCAAATGATACGTAAAAGTGCCAAGGACAACCATTTCATTCCTCTTTTGTAAAAAATAAACCTTATTCTATCAGGGCTGTCAAATGTAAATTTTAAGGTTAATTTGTGGGTATGGTAAATTTGTAGGTTATAGTAAATTAACCTTAAAATTGACATTTGACAGTTTGATGACAGCCCTGATAGGATAAGGTTGATTTTTGTTGTGGAGATTGTTGAACCTTTTTTAAACTGTTTTAGATACACCCGTCAAAATTAACGCGTTTGAGGCATATACCTATAACTATAGGTATATGGTTTGAGGGTTTTTAGAAAAAATATTTAATAATAAAAAAACGTTCGAAAAATAACTTTTAGGGAATTTTTTTTAAGTAAATAAAAAATATTATGTCAAAGACCGTATTTTTGTTAGTATACCCTGAAAATTTTGTATAAATCAAACTAACAGTAACGAAAATACAGCGCTTCAAAGTCGTCAAAAATGACCACTTTTCAGCAAAATAACCAAAAAGGGGTTATTTTTACCGACTTTGAAGCGCTGTATCTTCGTTACTGTTCGTTTCGTTTGTACAAAATTTTCAGGGTATACTAACAAAAATACGGTCTTTAACAGCATATTTTTTATTTACTTAAAAATAAATTTCCCTATAAAAGTTTTTCGAGCATTTTTTATTATTAAATAAAAGGTAGTACAGTCATCTTAGTCAAAAAAAGGGATCAACCTCGGAATCTAACGGAATAAGCTGAATTTTTGTGAAAACCTTTATTTTAGCATTACAAATGTTGTCTCAAAAGTCACATATGCCAAGGTGTGAGCGGCCTTAGATATTCAAGGTCAAAGGTCGCAAAAACCAGTTTTTTAAGAATATCTCGTTTTCTCTGCCTCCTATCGTATTTGCATTAATCATAAAAGTTGTAGAAAATAAAATTCTCTACAAATTTTGTTTACAAAATTTTTTTATACGTCGAACCGTTTTTGAGATAGAGGGCGCAGAGTGTGGAGCGCTCAGCCATACGTACCTTTAGCGCAAGGTAAATCGTGAATCCCAATCTATTATACCGTTTTTTTTTATTAATTATATAATAAATATTACTAAAATAAAAATTTAATACCTTATACTTATATTTATATTTCTTTTAAATCAAATATATTTTATCTTCATATATATCTTATATTTTAATTTAATTTTAATGAAGGATAATTGAATCGGAGTAGGAAAAAATGTTTTTATTTATATCAATATTATTATTATTATTATTATTAATCTTTATCTTCTTCATCCTCGTCTTCTTCAGGTTGGCCAGCAATTTCAGACTCATTCTCATCATCACTCTCCTCGTTATCATTGACATTAATTGTCATTTCTTCAAAAACTTACTTATAACGCGTTTGTACTTTGCAGATTTTTTTGCCTTTGTTGCCTCATCTGCGACTTCACCACAAAATAAGCACAATATTTTAAAATCAAACACATCATTCCCTTTTTACGAGGTACAGTTGATGACGTTGAAGGTCCAGTCTCTTCAAGGCGACGTTTTGCTGCTGCAATTTTACTATAGTACGCCAAAGATAATTATCTTTGTAGTACGCTATAGCGTAAAATTTTCGACACTCAATATGAACGTTCACAGAATTCAAAGTATTTAAGTAGTTTATGTTTATTTCTCTCAATAATTGCTTCTTTTAAAGTCTTTATACCCCGCACAAAAGTCACAGATTCACCATCAGAAAGTAACTTATTAAAAATAAAACACAAATCAGCCATGTTAACCTTTAAAATATTACGAATATTACCTGTCACAACCCTAGACCTATACCTAGGGCCACAACTTGCTTTAAAATTTAATATACGTATACCTAACCTTTTTATTTATAGCAAGCCCACTATAGTATTTCCAGGTCTGTTATTTTAAAAGCAATATCTGGATCCAAGAGATGACCAGAGACATATTTAAGGCAAATTCATTTAATGTCTTTTCTTCTTAAAATGCATTTATCATTAATTAGAATAACATTAGAATATATTTAGAATGATTCACTTCATTATTTAATTATTTGTATCTCAAAAGTAAGTAATATTTAATGACTATTTGTATAAATGTATAAAAATAAATATAAGGTATTAAATTGTTATTTAAGTAATATTTAATAAATAATTAATTAAAAAAACGGTATAATAGAGTGGGATTCATGATTTACCTTGCGCTAAAGGTACGTATGGCTGAGCGCTCCACACTCTGCGCCCTCTATCTCAAAAACGATTGGACGTATAAAAAAATGTTTTAAACAAAATTTGTAGAGAATTTTATTCTCTACAACTTGTATAATAAATGCAAATACGATAGGAGGCAGAGAAAAGGAGATATTCTCAAAAAATTGATTTTTGCGACCTTTGACCTTGAATATCTAAGGTCGCTCACACGTTGGCATATGTGACTTTTGAGACAACATTTGCAATGCTAAAATAAAGGTTTGTACAAAAATTCAGCTTATTCCGTTAGATTCCGAGGTGAAATGCCTATATGACTGGACTAAGGGCTTTAAAGATATTTTCTCGAAAAACCCTTGAATCCGTAAACTGAGATATACATAAGTTAAAGTATTTTTACACAAATTTTCATAAAGATTGGTAAAGGCGTTTTAGAGTTAGAATTTTTTTACCTATTATGCGTTAATTTTGACGTGTATGTTAAATTGTTTAAAAAAAAAGTCCAAACACTTTAAAATGTATTTAATTTATTATAATTTTTAATAAAAGTTTTCTTTAATACAAAAATTGCAGTATATTTAGGTGAACAACACGAGCTCGTACAGTTCGTACTTTTAAATATTTAAATATTTCATCTCTCCACTCACATCTTCTGTAATATTTAAGAGCCCGCATAGAGTCTCGTTGCTTCCGCAGGCGAGATTTTGTTTTATTCAGATAAACTGTTTACGGGAACTTTTAATATTATCGAAAGTATGCTGCAAAAGCAAATCTATGTAAAGAATTTATATCTTATTTTACAAACGCAAAGAAATCGAATTCATAACGCGCCACCACTGGAGAAATCACTAACAAAATTCTAACCTCACTTTTTCACAGATGTTTGGTTCGTTGACATTTGCTACAACGCTACTACGTTTTCCTTTAGCCGATTACAAATAGGCAGTAAAAGAATATAGGATTGTGATTAGTGAAAACATAGTAGTTAAACCTACAAAGTGTGTTTGTTCGAGTTGCAATTAAAGCGAACAAATATCGGCGAAAATAAGGTACGCTGAAAAGTAAGGTTAAGTTTAATAATCTCGTCTAAATTGTATAAAATACGCTCCGTAATACCTTATTTTAAAGAGTAATGAGTATTGCGACGTAAACCAAATCAATAATTTACTTTGTCTTGTGTTTTAAGTAATATTTACGCAGTTTTCTACCGGTCGTTATTTAGGGTTATGTTTTTGTTGTCATACACAAATTATTTGTCAAGTAACATTAAAAACCTTTCAATTTATTACTCTAATAACACGAATTATGTTTTATATTAAACAATAACGCTGTGATAACAAAATTAATTATAAAAACGCTTTGTTTTATCGAAAATCTTTCCAGTAAAATTATGTTAAGTGTTTTTTGTTTGATATCTTATAGACCCCAATGTTGCGTGCAAAAGAAAATGCGTGATTACAGGTATTAAAATAACGAAGTTAAACGAATGAAGCTTTCAGTAATGAAAAATAAAAGAAACCAGAATCAAAACATGTTAATCATAAATCAATAATTTAATGAATATTATAATTATACATATACAGGGTGTTTCAAAAACATGTGCCTTTGCTTGTGTGGTAATTCCTTACCCTAAAATAAGACAAATATACTAGGTTTATGACTATAGGTCCTTACCGTAAGGAATTACCATGAACGATGGCACATGTTTTTTTATTAACACCTTCCGTAAATTCCTATAGCCAAGCCAACACACTGTCTATATAGAAATATACATATAATTTTTAATTAAAACCTTTTGTTATAAAAATTAAATTAAATATGGTATTATCATAAATATATGCAAGTCCCAGTGTAAAACAAAAAATAATAATTTTTTGAAAACCTTAAACCAAAAAATTAACCCCAGGTTTGTGAACAGTTGTCTGCAAAATGTCGGAAGAAAACCCCCAAAAACCCGAAGAAATGGAGGAGGATCCTGATCCAAGCGACTTAATAAGGTGTCGAGACTTCTTATACAGACTGGTAATCAGGTAAGAAAATACTTTACACGCTTAAAAGTTTAGTTTTATAAATAAACAAATTGGGATATCATAAAAATATTTGTTCTAAACCATTTTGCCTAATAGTTTACAACCTGCAAATTTTAATTTTAATCAGACTACACCAAGTTTAATCAATACTGAGGATGTCTCAAAAATGACACATTAACATTACCAAATACCACTTACATAAAAAATTAGAACTGTATTAAATTTAAAATTAGTTAATTATATTTTAGTTATTTAATGATTTAAATATATTTATTTATTTAATAATTATTAAACTAAAAAACATTTTTGTTAAAACAATATTTTTTTGGAAAATATTTCAACAAAAAGTCAAAATGTTTCTTAAAAATGGGTTCAAAAATTTTAATGAATTAAAAAAAATATTTTTTAAATTTTTAGACAAACTTATTTACTATAAATTTAATTTTTTTTTAATATTTAAATTAAAATGGCTTATTTCAAAATACTACTTAAAATAAACCAACCCTACAGCTTAGTATACCATTAGTGCGCGTCATTTTTGGGACACACTGTATAGTTGTAAATATTAAATTTGTTTGACAAAATATTCTTTTAAACGTTTTTTAAAAAAGTACGGAAATTCAATCTTAATATTTTTACGTAAAACAAATATTAATCCCTATAGAAGATGTCCCTGGGATCAAATTAATGCGTTATAATTAAATTTACTTCTACACCAAATAAGTTGTCATCCTTTGAGGGGATGATATTACACGCCAAAATAAGAAAGTTTTTGCATTAGTGCCATTTTTTTAAATAAAAATATCATTAATATTTTTGATAAGCCTTGTATAAATTTTGGGACGCCACTGGTTGTTCCTGACGTATGCCAACTGACGCAAAATATGCTTGCACAGTGGGCAATAATCTACATTCATTAAAAATTTACATTTGTGTAATCATTGTTTACTTTCTTGATAATTGTTTTTTGTTTTGCATACTCTGCGTACTTTGAATAAAACAATATTACTTTTTATTGTTGGGTATCTCGAGGTTTACGTGGTTTTCCCGTCGATTTTAAATTTCACCTTTCACTTTTTACGTCGATTGATGCTCATGCAGCTATTTTTTTAAGTGATCCACAAAATCATAATAAATGTTCAACTATCCCTCTGTTATTATCCACACAAAGTTGACAGCGGCGTAAAAAATTATGATGTTTCGCTCAACCTACCCGAATATTAAATTATTATCAACTTTTCTATAGAAGTAAATTTAGTTATATTACATTATTTTGGCCTTTTTTTGTACAGGGATTTGAGGTTACATGTATATTTTTTTAGTCAATTGTATTATGACGGTCACCAAACCATGGGTACTAACTTATCGACAGCCATACAAGCCGACCCACCATGCGCACCTAGCGATAGGCTTTTTAACTTGGTCCTAAAAGGTTTGGAACACGAACATGAAATTTACGAAAAACCAAATGCCAATGGGGTTAAACCTGTGAGAATTGGAGCTTGCCTTGGTAAGATATACTTGCCTTGGTCTTAAAACATATAATTCAAGTGTTATGATTTTAAGATCTTGAATTCGAGTCGGAAAGTGACACCCCAGCTCCTGAGCCGGCTCTGTACGAAACTGCTTACGTAACCTCTCATAAAGGTAACTGCAGAGCCGGCTGTTTCTCAGCCGATGGCCAATTGGTCGCCACAGGTAGTGTAGATGCTAGTATTAAAGTGCTAGATGTGGATAGAATGGTTGCCAAGTCGTCCAATGACGATATGGACCCTTCCAGATTGGAGCAACAGGGTCATCCAGTTATAAGAACGTTGTACGACCACATGGAAGAGGTCACCTGCTTGGAATTTCACCCCAAAGCGCCATTTTTATGCTCTGGGTCCAAAGATAACACTATTAAATTGTTCGATATATCCAAGGCTAACGCTAAAAAAGCCTTCAAGACTGTCACTGTAAGTTATTATTGGTTTATTAAAAAAAAATATTAAAATCGTATATTTTAGGAAGTGGAGCCAATTCAATCAATGTCTTTCCACCCCTCCGGAGAACATTTGATCGTAGCTACGGAACACCCTGTAGTTCGTATGTACGACGTCAACACCCTGCAATGCTTCGTGTGTTCGTTCCCCAAACATCAACACACCAAAACCGTGACGTGTCTGAACTGGTCCCCAAACGCCAAACTATTCGCGACCGGAAGCAAAGACGGAAGCGTTAAACTCTGGGACGGCGTTTCGAATCGTTGCGTGAACCATTTCACCAAGGCTCACGACGGTTTGGAAGTTTGCTCCGTATTGTTCTCGAAGAACGGAAAGTATTTACTGACAGCCGGCAAAAACTCGATCTGCAAGTTGTGGGAGTTGAGCACCAGTAGATGCCTGATAGCCTATACAGGAGCCGGTACCACGGGAAAGCAGGAGTACGAAGCCCAGGCTGTTTTTAATCACACGGAAGACTACGTTTTGTTCCCCGATGAAGCCACAACTTCATTGTGCACTTGGAACTCGAGAAACGCTTCGAGGAAGAAGTTGATGTCCCTAGGGCATAATGGCGCAGTCAGATGGATTGTGCACTCTCCCACTCAAGCTGCATTCTTGACTTGCTCCGACGATTTTAGGGCAAGGTTTTGGTATAGAAGATCGCCAACTCTTTAATTATAATCACCCTTAAGTTTTAAGCACTAAGTTTACTATAAATTGTCAGAAATTTAATTCCAATGTAACCTCTTGTTGTGTAATAATATAATAAACAATAGGTAGTAAAGATATTGGACATTCTTATTTAATATTGGTAAAAATTGTGTAAAAAATCAGTAAAATTATTTATTTCTACATTTGTGTACTTAAAACTTCATCTTTGGAAGATAAGTCGTTAATGGTCCACCTATATTATTTAATTAATTTTTCCACGTAATACATTTTTTCCCATTAGCACACCAAAGAACGGAAAGTATTTACTGACAGCCGGCAAAAACTCGATCTGCAAGTTGTGGGAGTTGAGCACCAGTAGATGCCTGATAGCCTATACAGGAGCCGGTACCACGGGAAAGCAGGAGTACGAAGCCCAGGCTGTTTTTAATCACACGGAAGATTACGTTTTGTTCCCCGATGAAGCCACAACTTTATTGTGCACTTGGAACTCGAGAAACGCTTCGAGGAAGAAGTAGATGACCCTAGGGCATAATGGCGCAGTCAGATGGATTGTGCACTCTCCCACTCAACCTGAAATCTTGACTTGCTCCGACGATTTTAGGGCAATATTTTGGTATAGAAGATTACCCACTCTTTAATTATAATCACCCTTAAGTTTTAAGCGGTAAGTTCACTATAAATTGTAAGAAATTTCATTCCAATGTAATCTCTTGTTGTGTACTAATATAATAAATATTAGTGAAGATATTCGACATTCTTATTTAATAGTAGTAAAAATTGTATACAAAGTCAGTGAAATTAATGATTTCCACATTTGTGCACTTTAAAGTTTATCTTAAAAAGGCTTCCGGTTTATGGAAGCGAAGATAAGACGTTATTGATGTACCAATATCATTTGATGGATCTTTCTGTGTGAAAGGTTAAATGGACGACCTTAACTGTCAGTGGGGTAAACACCTTCATATCATTCTCCAGGCAGATCAATGATATTTGTGTTATGATTTATACCTATTTACCCAGAGGTATAACGTATCTATTACCGTTACTATTTCACCCATCGTATTCTATATTTAATTTATGACATCTATCAATGATTTGAAGTAGGTACATACCCTGCAGTGTGAAAATTATTTAAGCATGTAAGACTTTAACCAAAATATTAAGTATACGTTAAAGTCCTGGTAACAGACAAACTAGAATTTACAACAAAAACACTTCTCCGAAATAATGTCTTAATGCCGCCAGAAAAATGTTTTCCTTGCACGTCCATTCTTCCACGTATCTAGTAATTTCGAAGCTCGTTTCGGCGTAATAGCTGCTATATTACAATGTAAAATTTTATACGGCACGTGACTTTTCAGCTGCGACTGAAGTTTTCTTTTCTTTCATCTACGTACGTGTACGTTTGCGTATGGCATATGACGAAGTGTGTATGTGAGATGTTTTTTTATAGACTAATGTTGACTTTAAATAGGTTAAATATTGATATTATTTTTTCAGTTTCGTTTCTTCTTAAAAAAGACTTCAATTATTAAGAGAATAATGTCATGAACAGGATTCATTTAAAAAACAGAAATAATTAACTAAAGAAAACATTAATTGAAACTCAATACGACTTGTTGCTTAATAAAAACTATAAAAGATCGGACAACAGTTTTAAATAATTTAATCTGATTCAAAACAAAAACACCCGCTCTACACACACTGCAACACAAACTGCCAACCACCACATCTTCAGTCATGTGATATAGAACCACCAATTAGAGCAAGCCCAAGCTCCAATTTTCTCGCCTTAAGCAGCGACAAATAGGAACGAACTCGCCTGATATATTAGTAGGTAAATAGTTTACGCTCTTTTTTGGTAAGTAGGAGCTTTACAGGCTATAAAAATTTCGCCTTTGTTCAGTCGACTCTCAACGCTGTAGTGGGTTGACGCGGTTTGAGCGTGGATTTTATTTACCATTTATGCTTAGTATGGTTGATTGATTTTTTACTTTTTATTACAAATGTAGGTATCAAAAACCATTTTCAAAACTGTAAATTGGTGATAGAGCATAGGAAAATTAAAAAATAAACAATTTTAGAGTAAATAATGTACCAATATATTTTTAGAACTGTTTTAAAAATGATTACTAAAAAATCCATTAACTTGGGGACAACTTTGTTTTTTATGGAGAGAGCATTTTTGTGATTAGTAATTATTCCCAAACCCACATATTCAGCATACCTACGTGGGTTGTTTGGCAACTACGCCTTAACTAGATCAAAATTAACTGGACAAAATACAAAAACTACTAAATACTATATGACAGACAAAAACAACAAAAACAAAGAGTTCCGGTTTGTGCCTTGGAGAGTGCTTTCGCTCGATGAAACAGTGTTAAATATGAAGTCATGGTATAGAAATATACCTGTATTTTTGGACAATATCGCAAACTTTGACCTCTTGGCGAGGTATTTTGTGATTTGTTCATCACCATAAAAATCAGATTTGTTAACATGAGTTTGTAGTTTGTTTATATTATTTTGTAAAATTTTAAAATAATTTTTTGTAGAAAACCAGGGTTTTTAATAATTTTAACAAAGATAAATATTTTACTGAATGTTTTTTAAAGTTGATATGCAATTTGTAAACATTTTCTTAATTTCAAAGATTACAGATTATTTTGTTAATGTTACAAATTATTTCGGCAGTCAATCAAAATATTTCCCACTGGCAATATGCATCAACAAGTTCAACTGACTTCAGCGTCTGCAACTTATGTTTCTGCTTACTTTATTCTAATTCGTAACTTGTTCGTAACAACTGTCCAGAGTGTTTATAATATATTGCCAGAAATATGCTATTATTGTTATTCGGATTCCTTATACCTATTTAACGAGTATCCGAAAAAAGATGCCATCACTGGTTTTCAAACTGAAATTAAGGGATAAAGGGAAGTGGGTTAAAGTTACGAAATACATCAGTAAGTGTTGTAGTAGTAATGATAATTATATTGTACCAAATTTCTTTATAATTTAATGTTTTCAGAATGGTGTGTATGTTATTTTTGTGTTCATTTACATGAGGTGTAAAAAAAATTGTATAGGCAACATTTATTATTGACATAGAATTTTGTTTTTAAATCTACAAAATGTTTGTTATAATTACAAACTACTTATTCAATTAGTTAACGGATTACAGTTGTAAACTTAACATAAAGTTATATGGACCAGATTTAACATAAAATATTTGGTAAAAATTAACAAATATTTTAAAGAGTTTGATGAATAAATAATAGTAGGTCGTTACAACAATTTCAGCAGTGCCAATGTAGTAAAAATAAAACGCATTTTAATTAACAAATTAATACTTCATTCAAAAATTATTTAACTCGTCAAAAATCATAAATTCTAAAATGTTAATAAAAAAGCAATGCTTGGAAAAAATCTTGCTCGAGGCACAATTCCTGCCGAAGTCGGCACAAGGTATTTTGTATTCGACATCGAAAAACGTTTCCGGAAACAAATATGCGAAACGTGATTGGATCTATTGCGACATTACAAAAAACAACTGGATCTGATCGAACAACGCAATTTCCTTTATACATGCCAATACCATGCGCTCCGTGTTAAAATCAACCATGTATATGCACATGTGTGTTGTTGTTTCAGGTGTGACAACCGCAGATTTATAATTTAGACGCAAATCGATTATACATGTTAAATGAATTATTATTACAATTAAGTTTAAATACATTATTTTGTGGTCTTGTTTTAGGTAACAGCGCACTATAGTCAAAAAGCAGCGTTTTGCGGGAAAAAAATCGATAACTTTTGTATTACAAATGATTGGAGTTATTACGTATAATTAACTATATTTTAATCGAAAATTTTAAAGGTTTTTATTTTTTAAATGCGTTTTTAGATTATCATTAAGCACTGTTTTGCAGAAATAATTCACAAACTTTTTTATTCAAAATAAATATCAATTTTTTTTCTTTTTTACTGTATTATATAAGGATTATTACCAGTGGCGGCCCGTCAGGGGAGGCAGGTGAGGCAGTGCCTCATCATAGAGAATTAAAAAATTAAGTATAATTTAAATATTTTACTTTCTATAATTTACTATAAATTTTTAATATTTGGATTACATGAATTGTGAAATAGTCAATAAAATTGATTGATTTTATACGTGGAATACCCAGCAACATTTAAATTATTTGAATTTGAAACGACCGCAATTTAAACTAATATTTATAGCTAGATGATTGGCTCAGAAGCCTGCCTGAACTAATTTAGACTCACGATTGGCGTTAGCCTTGTTGTCTCGTTCTATTACAATGCGATATCATAGTTGTCTCCTTCTCTCGTATTAGCATACGGGAGGCAGGCACGCCTACATCCAAGGAAATAAGCAGGTGTTGTGGCAACACTGTTGCGGAAGTTTAGATAAATTGTACTTCACACGTTTTTCAAAATTCAATAATAAATGGTATTATTTTTCTTATAATAAATCGATTTAATCGAAATTATATTTCTATTCTAAAATAAACATATTTTAACACTATCGCCATCTTGTAGCCATCACAGTAACCAATAAAGTAAAGATTCCTTCTTTAGGTTTGTTTTGGTTATAAAATTCTGAACTGTTTAAAGAACAAATCTGTGGTTATTTACGCAATATTTTGTTTATTCTTTTTCTATGAGTTTGTCTATTTTATGATTCTTTTGTAAGTGGTTTATTCTATTGGTTTAGTTAATTGAACTTGGTGATTTATGTGAATTTAGTCATTATGGATATTACGGTGAGAAATTGTACCGATATTGTTGACTTTTTTTTTTAAGTTGGGTTTAACAAAATTTCTTCGCCTTTAAATGAGGGCGAAACCCTGCCTCTGCCTCACCAAAATGAAATGTCACGGGCCGCCACTGATTATTACGTATAATTAACTATATTTCAATTAAAAAACTTACAGGTTTTTAATTTTTAAATGTGTTTTTATTCATTCAACTTTTCCATATGTGCGTATATACATGTGTACTTATAAAGTAAAGTTTACTGAACAACCTCATGCCTATATGAATTTGTTTTCTCTTAATTTTACCAATGTGTCTTTAAAACGTAATAACT